TAGACGAAATTATAAGGAGTATAAATATATAAATTTTATTTGCTCTTTCTTATAAAAAATTTTAATTTGCTCTAATGAAGATGAAATAGGCCTTTTTTGAAAATCAATTTTGGTGGTATCTATAGTAGAAGCATAAAAGATTTTAGAAGAGATAAGGTAGAAGTAGTAATATGTTGGTAGGCTGTTGAGAAGGTTCTTAACTTTGAAGGTTTTCATTTGATTCAATTTGGAAGATGTGATATTTGTGGTAACCTTTTAATTGTTGTTAATGTAACGCCAGGTAGAGTTTTAGTCAGTTGCTGGTATATAACTATTCTATTCTGCATTATGCTTCTGGGAGGACCATATTGCTATAGCTTGTGCTCTGCCAAGGGTTTTGATAAATTGTCTTGTGGGTTTTTTTATGTGGTATTCCTGGCATTGGATAGTAAATTGTAGGTTATATAAATTGGTATGGTTGAAGTAGAGAGTCTGAATTTGTTGTTAGTGTTTTTTGGCTAGCAAGTCTGCTACATTATTAAACAGATTGTTTGCATATGCTTGAACTTTGTAAAAGGTAAGCTGAATGTTGTATGCCTTGGTAGTATCAAGAATTAAATGCCAAATAGGCCAGTAGTTGAACTTGAAGTATTTAGTAGACCTAGTAGAAGTACATAGAAGTTTTTCATATTTAGCGATGATTAACTAGGAGTCTGTAAAGATATCTACTTGAGCAAAGTAGAAATAGCTGATAGAATTGCTATAAGTTTAGCTTTGTATGATGAAGGCTACTCCGTAATCTTTGCAGAGAAGCTATTAATGATCTGGTTGTTATAAATTTGTACCTAGCTGACTCCTATTAAGCAGTTGCTAGTACTAATATCTGATATTGATCCATCAGTATAGAAGGTAAATATTTGTATGTTGTGGTTGCTAAGAGTGAATTGTACAAGTTGTTGGCTTGCTTCACTATTATGAAATAGACTAAGAGCCAGTAAGTCTGTAATATTTAGATTGGGTAAAGGTGGAAGTGTAATGGGGTATTTGATAGCTGTAGAGTACAAAAGATCAATATAATTGGCATTGAGTTTGAGCTGCTTGTCATGTGTCCTTCTTCCTAAAAACTGTGTGGATAGAATATTTGAGACCTTGATAGTATAGTATTGGGAAGTTAGTTTAAGTTAAGGTTGCAACCTGGACATGAAGTATATATAATAAGTGGAAGTAGGTAAGGAAGATAGTGAGTGCTATGGGTTTATATTGCATTGCCAGTGTGTAATAGAGGTTGAGTTGGTTTGTTTAAACTTTTTCCTTATCTGCCCATTAATAATCTGGTCTTGGTAGTAGATGAGTAGCCATGGTTTTAATTTTTTGGAGATAGCGCTAGATTGGTATACAAATAGGTTAGTACCAGGTGATCAAACTTGTGAAAGTATAGTTCATGATCTTGGATCATCAAGAATTATACTTTCTAAAAGAGAGAACCATTGAGGCTTTCTCTCTTTAGGAAGATGTAGTAGCCTTGGAGAGATGTGTTGCTATTTTAGCAAGTGTTTATTATCTGCTAAACTAAGCTGTTCTAAATAGAGAATGTGCTTGCATCGAAGCTGTTGTTTGAATATTTTGTAGTTGGTATTTTTGAATAGTATAAACTCAAGTGATGAGTTGCTATTCTGGATTATTTGTGACCAAGCTATACTGGGGTTTGCTACCATGCTTACACCAGCTTGTTGTAGTAGTTGAATAAGTTTACAGATAGTGGTGTGTTTATTGGGTCTATCAATGGTAGGCAAGAGATGTTGAAGTAAGCTGGTAGTTGACCAGAGGTTATTTTGCAGCTGTTAGAGTCTGATATGGGTAATAGTTTCAAGAGTAGAGGTGTTGTTGATTCTGAGAAGGAAGTTGCTAGTGTGGTGCTAAAGCTATATTTTTTAGATATTGTAGATGTTGTAAATATTATTGTTGAGCATTGTGCTATTAGGTGTAGACCAGAAGAGATTAGCTTTGTGTTTGGCTATTGTAAGGTACTTCTCTAGAATTTTTAGGTATGTGGATTGTGGTATTATAATATTGTGGATTTTGTATTCAATAGTGAAAATTATGATAGTATTAATAATATAGGTTATTTGTTTGTCTGTTATCTTTTTGGTATTAGCTGTGTAGGCAAGATTAAAAGCCTCTTCTTGGATAAGTATGATCTGTTTTGAATATTTGTTGTCTAGTGTAAACCAGCATCCTAGAAATTTGAATGGCTAGTTGAGAGAAGTTGAAGCTAGACTAGTTTGTAGAAATAAGATATTTGCGTCTGGTTGGTTTGATATAAAGACTAACTTGAAAAGGTTAATCTGGATATTGGCCATCTTGTAGAAGGATGAAGCTATATATATTATTTTTTTGAGATCTTTCTTGGTTTGGGCTATTCAGAGGATGTCATTCATGTAAGCCAAAATGGATATCGAGTATGATAAATGTTTGAAGAAAGGTAAGGTAAGGCTAGATTATCATGATGTTTGCATAGTATATCCAAGTAGATTAAGTAATATGTTAGTGATTAATAGGTCATAATATATTCTCCAGAATAATAGTGTTATAGTTTCTCCTTGGTCAATGCTATTTTGTACCAAGTAGTGGTTAGTGAGCCCAAGGTTAGTAATGACTTGGTTGGTGCAGTCAGAGAAGATTGGATAGAATATTGATAAGTGGTTGGGGTATTTGAATTCTGTATAGAGCTTTTTGAAATAGATCAAAGTTGACTAAGTCATAGGCCTTGCTCATATCTTGTGAGAAAATCCAGAGTTGGTTGGGGCCACACACTACATCTTCTATGATATTGTTGAGGATATGGATTGGAATGAAAGTGAAGTTGTCTGGAAGTGCAATATAATTGAAGAGTGAGAGGATTAGATATTTAGATAAGATCTTGTTAAGCCAGTTGGTAAGAAGTTTTGTATACAGTTTCTTGATATGTTCAAAAAGGCTGATAGGTCTAGTGTTAGCTAGATTGCTATAGAAGATAGGTTTTTTGAAAATTAGATAGATTCTTCCTTCTTTCTATTGTTTGAGAATTGTTTGAGTAGAAAAATATCGATTAAGCAATACTGTAATGGCTTGTAAGAAGTTAGATCCTGCATGCTTAAGTATTTTATAGCTTATTCCAAAAGGTCCACAGGCCTTATTGTTTGATAGCTAGTTAAGAGTATGAAGTATCTCTTCTTGGGTGAAATTAGAAAGTGCTATTGTATACCAGGTAGATATAATCTATAGTTTGGATTTATACTCTGTATGCCAGTCTTTTTCAAATAGGTCTTGGTTTATTGGTCTAAGGGCTGTCCAATTATTGAAGTGTTGTTGGATATGGGTCTTGATCGAGTGTAGGTCTGTAATAACTGCCTGGTTTAGCTTGATGTTACAAAATCTGACAGTGTTCTTTTGTCAGTTAAGGATACTGTTAAGCATGGATATAGGGTTTGACTAAAGTTTTGTATACCTCTTGGAGATAGCTTCTGTAATTTGGTGACATGTTTGTTTGATATTTTCTAGGTTGTATGCATGATATAATTTTTTCTACTTAGTATTGACTGCTACTAGCTAGTCATTAGTAGATTGAGATGTAGTAGAAATAAGGGGAATCTAGAGATCATGTAGTTGGTTAAAATGAGTAATAGTAGTATTGTAGTGTATATGGATCTGGCTATTCATTTTAAGTGAGTACTTGGCTTGTCTTATGATGTTGCCAAGTTTCTTAAGGCTGTAGTGAAGTTGTGTGGCTTTGGGGGAGAAGATATGGTTAAAGTTGCAGACTGTGAATTTTTGGTTAGATATGTACTAGAGTGTAGTAGTAATAATACTAGTTTGAATCTTATGCCAGGTGGTTTCAAGAGTTTCTGAAGTTATAGTAAAAGAGGATACACAGTGCTGTTATAAATTAGCATTAACTTGGTTAGTAAAGTTTTCACATCTTTCTTTGTCTATATATTTATAATTAAAGATTCTTCTCTTAGTCTGAGTTTTGTGCCTAGATTGTCCAGTTGTAGCAAAGGAGAAAAGCCAGCAAGAGATTAAGATTTTGTGATTACTTGAGGTACTGATGTTTGAGTCATCAGTATCATAGTTCATAAGGTATTGGAAGATTGGTTAGTAAACCCAGATATAGTCAATTTTACTGCTAAGGTTGGCTCTGTGCTATGTAGGAGCTGATTTGTAGAAGTGTAAAGCCAGGTTGTATATATTATTATATGTTAGATATTGGAGGAGCTTGTATTTGATTGACTGTGAGTAGATATTGTTTATAGAGATGTTGAAGTTTTCTAGCATGATTGAAAGAATACTTTGAGCTGTTGCTTATTGTAGCCATTGAATAATAGTGTTCTGTGTTAGCAATCTGAGTTGTGTATCATTGCTTGGCAGATAAAGAGAGATAATGTGAAATTTGAAGTTGTTTTTGAAAAGAAGATCAATTGTATAAATCATCAAAACAACAAAAAAATTAAGAGAAAAAACATTTTTGAATAGAAGAATACAAATATTTCATATATTTTTGGCCCTTAGATACTCTAAATATTACTTAATAGACCCTAACAATATCTATACAAAGCTAAAAAGAGACAGAAACACACTACTTTTCACTGACAAAGCCTTCAAACCTTTCTTTGTTCTGACAACATTCTCTAACCCCACCTTGATGGATCCCTACAGGACCTCAGATAACCAACCCAGAGAACAAAATCCTACTATACTAGACAACTTACCATCACTAAAAAAGAAAAAAACAACATCTAAAACCAAAGACGAAAAAAACACTATCTATAATACTACTACTACCCCACCACATATCACACAAAAAAATTCAACCCAAAGTGGAGAATTTAGCAAACCCCTGTCAAAAATATCGATGACATCATCTGATCAAAACAAATCAACAATAATTTAATAAGTGATAGACAATAATAAAAAAATAACAATAAAATAACTTACTTCCTTTGGAATGTTATCCTTTCTTTTTTTATTTTGTGGTGTGATAGTTTTTAATAAAGCTAATGTAGATGATGTTGATGTGAACAATGAGGCTGAAGTTGATACCAATGTAGCTAAAGATGATGTGGACAATAATGTTGAAGCTGATATAGTCGATATTCTATATTCTTTAGAGCATTGCAAAGTATTAAAGTTTAAGGATATATCAGAACTGGTTCTTTTGCCCTTTTTTTTTATACATTGTGTTTCTAATTTAAGTGATAAAAATTATAAAAATAAAGAAAAAATTTTCTTTTTTTATATAAAAGAAATCTTTGTAAGTAATATAATGTAATAGTATTAAATATTAGAATTGTATAAATTAATAACAAATATAATAACTAACTTATTAACTAACACATTAACTGATTACCTTAATTAATTATATCATTTTGTAATAGAGATTTATTAGTACAACTAAATACTAAAATAAAATTAAATAAATAATTTAAAAATACTTACTACAAACAATTATAATATTTAATATATATAAAAACATATTCGTATTCTTATCTAACATTTTATTGTGTTCTTTTGTTTTACTTGTCATTTTTGCATACCTTTTACCTTCTAAATATATATAATCTTTTTCACTATAAAAATATGACGAAGTTCTATATAGAATAGTAGCATTTTTATCATTATTTTTGAGACTTATAAGTGATTATAGATTTTAGAAATAATATATATAGAATAAAACTAACATATACAAAAAAAAAAATAAATTAATATTTATTCAATAAAATATTAAAAATTTGGTCAACAAATTATTGTATACCTTAAAGTTCTTCAAAGAAATTGCCAGTTTCTCTATTTTAAATTGTTTAACAACTACTATAATAGAATTATAATCTCTAGTATTAAATTTATCATGTTGTATTGGATAAAATAATATAAATTTATTTTCTTTATTATGTAGACAAAGAGCCTAAAAATCATAGGAAAAAAGATCAACTATATTAATATTTGTAAATATATCAATTTTACTTAATCAATAAAAATTTATATCTTTTATCCATCTTTTCTCCAATATAATAGTTTACATTTTTGTCAACTTTAGTCCAATCGACTTTGTAAGTGTAATTATAATCTGCAATTGTTTCTGAATGAGCTAATTTCAATATAAATAATTTTTTCTGGGTCTGAAAAATACTGTAATTAATAATTATTAATAATTTTTTAAATAATAAAAATTTTCAACTTATTTAAACTTTTGTTGTGAATTTCTTTTATATAGTTTTTTTATAGACTTAATATATATAAATAGTTAAAAGATAATAGACTAAAGTTTACTATGTAGAATATAATTTAATTATGCTTGCAGATCTAACAAAGTAGGACCTTGTTAGCAAAAAGACTTTTCAAAACTACATAAATTAGATAATAATTAAATGATACATTTGTATTAATACATATAGTGTATTCGTATCTTATATTTTTTTAGAGCCTTCTTGCAATTTAATCTAATGCAGAGATAAAGATAGTGCCTTGATTACATTTAATAATATCAGATTTCATAATAATTAATATGTAATTATGTATATTGAATTATATTTAACTCTTAAACATTACAATTATCATGTATCTTTTTTTTCTTTTTTTTTTTTTTTAAAAAAAAATGTCTTTTAAATGTCCAAATCCAAATTGCACAAAAGAATTTTCTCATAGAGCTTTGCTTCGAAATCATATGAAAATTCATAATAATATCATTAAAAATCTTTTATGGGAAATAGCTAAAGAAAGAGATAGAGAAATTCTAATGAAAATAAAAAATAATCAACTTGGAGATAATGATAAAACAATGATATATAGCTTGCTTAAAGATGATAACGAAGGTGAAATAGAAATAGATAGCCAACTCAAAGATAAAGATGGAATAAAAATAGATAATGAAGATAAAATGGGTAGAGGAAATGATAGAATAAGATTATTTGGTAATGAGAATAGCTATAATTATCAGATAGAAAACCAACAAGAAAACTAGCTTGAAAGACAATTAGAAAGTGAGATGGAAGAAATGAGTGATCAAGTTATAGTAAATAAATAATAAGGCAAGAAATATTTAAGGTATGTGAAGTTATATAAACAATAAACAATAATAATAAACAATAATGATAAATTAAATATTGTTTGTGTAATATCTTATGCATAACAAATAAACTTTATTTGTGATTAATATTAAATATATCAATATATGTATATATATATATAAAATTTAGAATTATGTATTACTAGATGTAGAACTATTTTTAGTTTTTGAATCTCTTGATATTACTAAGCTAGTAAATAGCGAGAAAGTGAGCTTTCCAAGTAATGAATATAGTATCTTTATGAAGTTGCTTATAAAATGGAATTTATCAGATACATATACAAGTAAAATACTTAGGTTTGCAAAAAAATATCTGATAATAATATATATAGTTTTACCTACTTTAGTAAGACAAGACTATTAGTTTTTAGATCAAATTGCAATACCACATATCTCTTTTAAAAAAGTTCCTATTGTAATTTATAAAGAAGAAACATACTATCTTAATTATCTGTTTATTTTTGATGCCATAAAAGAATTGTTGAGCAATAAAGATATATTTAAATATTGTATCTTTAAATTTACACTATTATACTATAAAGGGTGAGGTGTGGCAACCTAGTGTAGTGGTCTAGTTGTCACCCTCTCCAAGTGGCAGGTCTAGAGTTCAAATCCTACGGACGACGAATTTTGGAAAATAGCCTGCGTTACAGTTTACGGTTGTCGATTATCGGTTGGATCTAGAAATCTGTAATCTCGGTCATACCATCTAGTTATGGGAGCTTTGGC